AKWTATTATGCAACCCTTTGCATTTGTACAACCAATACAACTCAATCTTAACCATCCATTTAATTCGATGAATATGTAATTTCATAGAAGTTTTGTTTGTTTCCTAACATAAAGTATTGATCATAATTAATGAACTTTAGTCATCTTCCATAAATATTCAAATCATAAGAAATAAACTCTCATCATTTCTATAAATATCTCAATTAATTGAGTTGCATTGGTTGTACAAATGGACATGGTTGCATTTGAAATATACCCCATATATATATATATATATATATATATATAGGGGCAGGTTCAAATGCGAACCGTCCAATTCTTAAAAACCGTGTGAACCAAATTCGACCAATCAGAAAATTCCATTTGTTTTCAATTAAATTTAAATAATAAGAGTGTTTATGTCATTTTGTACATTTATGTAATAATTATGGAAGTTATTCATTCCTATTAATTAAGGAATTAAATAAAAGAAACCGTAAAATAAAGGAAATGTTTCACTCTTTTAGGATATTACATAATTAAAATATTGATTTTAATATTTGGTATTCATTGAATCATGTTTCAATTTATGAAGATTTACGCCAATAATATGATGAAATCGTGGTTTCCTGCTGTGAGTGAAATAAAAAAAAACAAATATTCAAGAGAATCAAATAACATGAAGARGTTTCATAAATGAGTGACTTATTTGAGTCTTCAATAAATATGGTATACATCATGAAACATTGTCATTGTAAAGAAAAAATTCTTATTCTAAGTTAGGCGAGAGTCGTGAAATTTTTTCATTGTGTTCTTAATAGTTTTGTGTTTCAGGTTGATTCGTTTAATTGGTGTAATGAAATGGGTTTATCACGATGAAACAATTTCTGTTTAATGAAACAATTTTTTTTTATTATGTAATTGATTCAATATATAATAGTGATACAGTTTCATTTTAGTGAAAATGGAATTAATGATCATGAAAAACGTTTGATGTGCAAAGGTTTCATTACGAAGTAGTTAGGCAAATATGTTGATGTTGGTGAAACATTTTCATTTTACAATCCATTCGAGGTTGAATACCTAGTTTCACGATGAAATAGTTTTATTTGATTTTATATGAAATTAAGGTTCATTTAAATGTTCGATATGCAAAAGTTTCATTACGAAATAGTGAATCAAATAGGTTGATACCGATGAACAATTTCATTTCATTTGATATGAAATTAAGGTTCTAGTAAAGCATCACTGTTCAAAGGTTTCAATAAAAAAAAATTAAGAAAATAGGTCAATGCCGGTGAAACATTTTCACATTTTATTTTCATTTTACAATCGATTCGAGGTTGAATAACTAGTTTCACGATGAAATAGTTTTATTTGATTTTAAATGAAATTAAGGTTCATTTAAATGTTCGATGTGCAAATGTTTCATTACGAAATAGTGATTCGAATAGGTTAATACCAATGAAGAGTTTCATTTCATTTAATATGAAATTAAGGTTCTAGTAAAGCATCAATGTGCAAAGGTTTCATTTAAAAAAAAGTTAAGCAAATAGGTCAGTGCCAGTGAAACAGTTTCATATCATATTTAACTGGAGGTTGAATAATGTTTCATGTAATATGAAATTAAGGTGCAGTTATTTAATGATGATTAAAATGTTTCATTGCAAAATGTTTAAGCAAATTTGTGGGTGATAGTGAAACAGTTTCATTATCTCGATGAATGACGCTCGATGAACATGTTTCGTCGTGATATATTATAATATAGTTAATCAAATAGGTTCAGTCTGTTGAAATAATTTAATATTATACTTGATTCGAGATTGAAGAAAAAAATTTAAGATGATGGAATTTCATTGTATTGTATATGACAATAATTTTTATGTAATATTATGAAATAATTAAGAAAAATAGTTTATTCATCCTAAAACATTTTCATTACTCCTTTTTTGAAAAGATTCATTAAACATTATTGAATGTGTTGTGTTTTATTAATGATTTTGATATAACTTATTGATGGATGATATTTTAGAATATGTTAACATTAAAATAGTGTATAACTTAACAAATTGAATACCAATTCTACCCTTTTTGCATAAATAAAATGAATATTAATTATTTTTTAATTTTTAATTTCCTAAAATAAATTGATATAATCTAGGCCATTGATCGAGAAAATAGACGGATGAGATTAGTTTACACGGTTCACACAAATGGTTCAAGTTTTCATTTGAACGCTCCTCTATATATATATATACATATATATATATATATATATATATAACGGGTACGCGATGAGGCGGGGAGTACCATACCCGTCCCCGATTAAGCGGAGAATCCTCGTCCCCAATCGAGGCGGATGGACTGGGTTCCCCAACGGGTCAGGACCCATTCCCATGCCTATATTCGCTCCTTTATCAATTTTGAGTTGTACTACCTAAAACTGAAGCTCGTTTATGGATTCTAACTTGAAATCAATCAACTTATTGATTAGTTCAGCTCAGCCTGATAATTTTAATATTACTCTTAAAAATATGATTAAACCACAAGGGTGGTGCCTGATCGGTTTGAGCTTGGGCTCCAAATGTCAAAAGTGTCAGGAGATTCTAAGTTCAAATCCAAGAAGAAATAAACGTCTTTTATGACTACGGAGATTCAAATGCGGTGACTCCGGGCTACCTGCAAAGCAGGTGGTCGTCCTGGGATTAGTCGGCTCGTATAGCGGGTTGAATATCCAGGTTAATAAAAAAATATTATGTTGGGTGGAAAAAGTCTGTTCAAAAAATTTAATTATATTACTTGTAAAAATATTATTTCTATATTTAATTTTTCATTCTTTTTTCCCAAAAGAATAGATCCGAACAGAAATATGTAAAGATAAATAAGCAACTTAAATTCATATTACAAGTTGGTATGGTATGGTTTGGTTTCCCAAGTTTAATAAGAATAGTTATTATTATGAAATTAGTTATGGACATCTACATGATGAAATATATAGAAAAGAATAAACTTCCAAAAAGAACCGGATATGGGTTAAAAAGTCATAATCTCCCAAATTCACTACGAAAATTAAGCAAATTGTAGATTATAAACGACTTAAGAAAACATTCTCTCAATCTAGGTTACGAGTCAAAAGTTTTGGTCTTCTTAAGTTTACTATAAATACGAATACAACAAGATGGTTATAAACAATCTACAATATTTAAGCCGTTTGTAGACCTTAAAAAAACGACTTTAAAAGAATCATCACGAACCAAGTTACGAGTAAGTTATGGCTTCCCAAAGCTTACATCTAGATTACAGATTTTACGAGTCAAAAGTTATGGTATCCTAAAGATTTTACGAATATAATTACCAACTGCTTATGAGATCAAGAAAAGATTACGATAAATTTTTACTAGTTTGTAAATCTTGAAAAACTAAGTGACTTAAAAAGAGTTATCTCGACGTAAAATTTTAGTAGCCTCGCTAAAATTTACTATGAAATTGATTACGAACAAATTACGGATATGTTCTCTCTTCGTAATCATTTCCTAATCTCTTGGTTACCATTTCATAATGACTAGGTCAAAATATGCTTAATAAGCACCGACCAGTTATAACTGATACTTACCCCTCTCTCTCTCTCTCATTGGTCAAAGTATAATTGGTCCTGGTCCTGGTCCGGATAGAGGTCTTAACCAGTTTTTGAGCCTTCATACCAACCTCTATCTACTGGTGTTTCATACATGTCATTGTGCCATCGATGACATGACAGACGACTCACCATCGTCGTGTAGCTACTCTACATATTATCCTACTCATAATCAGCATTAGCAACAGCATAAAGATCAACGATGCTCATTTTTCCGTATAAAAGGTTATAAATGTACATAGCCAGTCACTGAATATCTACATCACCATCCAAATGCTCCATTATTAGCCAAGTACATGTATATTGCTCAATATATTTCATGACTCGACTAGAATACATACACAAATTTATAGCAAGTACCTATGATCCATCTCTTGCTTGCAACAATTAGCCTATTGTGAATTTACCACTTGAATTTCTTCTACTACTGTAGGTCTTATCGTACGATCTCAGCTGATGAATGGGTGGTCAATTATGTCTTCACAAATCACGACTGTGTACCTGCATACCATAAATATGTCGTATCTCAGGGTCATTGGTCCAGCAGTATCCAAGTTCTGGTAGAGTCGGGCCTCCTTAAGAGGTCAAAGGGTTCAAATCTCACCAAAGATGGGGAGTGTACGTAAGTATTTGCTGTATATAAATAAAACTATATTATGTACTTCAAAAAAATTATGCTGGCAACCAAAGTTTTACATTTATTGCCCATAATTAACTCATCTTGCTAGATAGTGTTAACTGATAAACATTAGACCCTTGATTCTTTTTGAGAGAATCAAATTTGAAGAAAAAAAATTGCATGTATATCATCATAAACGATGATTACGTTGACATGGTAAGACTCTAAGATAAGGGATATTATTAGCCTAGAAAACGAGTTCCCAAGAAACATACCGTATGGTTGGTCTTCATCCGGGCAGTAAGCCAAATTATCATGATCTAGAACGATTATGTAGTTGGCATTGTCATAGTGTGGGAACCTCGTCCCACAGGAATAACACCAGGAAGACCTCCCACGTATTCTTCATCTTGTGTAGAACCTGCATCAGAAGATACGTTAATCTTAATATTATTAATTGTTGATTTATATATAAAGAAATACGTTTCAAGACCTCATGAATATTGGACCTTTGTGAAAAATTAAGCATATTACTTTAAAGAAAATGTGAACAAAAATGAATTCAGAAAAACTCAATCACAGAGCCCCCATCCCCCCAACACACAAAAAAAACCATAATCACCACCACCTACAATTGTATACTCGAAATTCTCGCACACAAACATCTAAAGCCAGAAAATTGGCAGCATGGTTTCACCTGTAACTTCGTCACCAGCCTGAGCACCAGCTACGCCAATACAACAGTACAAGGACTGGTCATCAATCTTCAATTGTTCGTATGCCAGGTATACGTCCTCAATACTCGCAACTCCATACAGCATCGTCATATCTTTGATGCATGAAATGTCCTACAAAAGACATTCCCAAAAAAAAAAATAGGATCATTTGCAGCCGAAGGGAGAAGGATGATTGTGGTAGATAAATCAAAGTAATGGATTTAATATTAAAGGGTCAAACAGTATCCAGTAAAGTTATACAATAGTTTATATCTAGTAAGATAAGATAATATATTAAGAGAAGACTTTGAAGGGTAAATAGTATATTCATCAAGGTTATAAAAGAAGTCCATCCAGTGAAGTAAAATAACATATCAGGAGTATTAGGGTGGATATATCGAAGCAATGGGAGTCGATTTTTAAAGGGTAAAATAGTCTATTAAGCAATCTTTTGGAGTAATTGAAAATCACCTTCCTATGGACAGAAGTGGCCTGCAAATGAGCTATCAAACCGAGCCAGTAGGCATTTGACTTTGTTTCAGCTTCATGTTTCATCAGCAAGGTCCGTTTCGCCTGTCATGTATACAGTGATAACTCAAGTATCAGATCCATAATTATTAATATGCACACCTGATGAAATTACAGGTTTATTCATCCTCAAGACTCAAAAAAAAGAAGGGCAATGACAGAAGACGTTATGCTTCTAGATAATATACGTAACGTATATGAACTTAATGTAGAACTTAATACAAGGCTCTTCATCATCAACAATAACATCAAAACATGTAATGCCATATGGACTTAACGTAGAACGAACCCGGTCCAATTCATGTTCAGCAATCCTTTTACTATGCAAGCCTCTTAGGACACTCTTGCAAGCATCAACAGCCCTGTGTACCTGGATTAGACTCCCAACTGGTTAGACAATCAAAACATACCCTCTCCCATATAAGGAACTACTTCTAAGCTGAAGTGACGCACCTTGCTCGGTGTAGATGTTACAGAGATAACATACCAACCAAGATTCAGCCTGTCAAATAGGTTTAACTCGAAAGATACATCATATGTTAATCCTTGGGAGTCTCTGACTTCAGTGAAAAGCCTGGAAAAACATCAGTTTTGTATATCGTGATCAATATGATCAATACCAAGAGTTCTATAAAGCAACTACACATATGCGGAAGACAAACATAGAATTACCTCGAATTAATTATCTCTGCCAACAGCCCCACAGCAATTGCAAAATACAATGGGTGATTCCGAGGTCTTCTTTGCATGTCAGTATTGATGTTCTCTGCCTTCACGAGCTGTCCTTCGGTTTCTGGTTGTACATCTGTAGAGAAAATTTCAAATGTTTGTATCCTTGATAGATAATATACAAATCCCTGTTAAGCCAAGTTGAATAAGATCTCATTCAATTGCGAAGAAACACAGATAAAGCGGTCGAGAAATTTGTTAAGGCAACTTGATTTATGAACATATGAGAACATGATTCAGGTTACCATGTTCGGATTGTCCTTTTAGGGTTTCTTTAGGATTTTGTATTTGGCCTGTTGGTCAGTCTTGTATCATATACGTTTGTGCTTTGCTCAATCATACGAACTTTATCCCCACAAAACAGCAGGACAGACCCAAAAAAAAAAAAAGAATCAAACGGTGACACCATTTGACTATAAGAAACAAATATAGGGATATTTTTCATAAAATCATCATTGGTCAGTTGCTTAGTTCAATGCTTTTCATATGTGAGGTATTGTGTTCAAGTTTTTTATTGCAAAAAAATTCAGAATCATAATAAATCAAAAATTAAAAGCTAAAAATTAAGAAAATGACACTAACAGGATTCGAACTCTGATCTGGGGTGGAAGAGAAGTCTTGCAAACCAACTCTACCAAGGGAAACTTGTGTTCTCATTGCAGTTTCAAAATATTTATGGTGGCACACAACAAATTAATACGGTGGCACTTTTCAAGACCCTATAATTTTTTACACTACAATGGATGAACAATACGGTGACACGGGCCACCGTATGCTCTACATTGGGTCTGTCCATGCAAAACAGCCAACCTCAACTTAACTGTCTCATTTTCTTTGTCAATTTGCAGTGAGGAAATGCTGGTCTGAATCAGGATCTAAAGATTCAATGTTTGTTTGAATGTCTCTTCGACTTCTTTGCTTTATGTTGACTTGGGAATTTGTTAGATATGCTGCTGGGGTAACATTAGGGCAGATGCTACTTTTGCTTAATATATTTGATTTCATGTAACAAAAACACAGAAGCAAAATAATCGTATATCACGAATGCTTACCATTCTTAACTGACATATTACTTATGGACTCAAGAAGATCTGTTCCATCAACTGTAAATCCCCAGCGGTTTGGCGCAGGGCCTGCAATATATGCACATGCTCGCTCATCAGTGTCCTTCAAGAACACCTGTCAAGTAGGAAACGAGAGATGAGACCACATATAGATTATAGAAATGTTCAATAATAACCACACATGATAATCAAAGAAATGTAATTGAGACAGCAGATACTAGCTCAGATTCTGGACAAAATCTGAATATAGTTTTTATTCATGCAGGAATAATAAAAAATGGCTAGAAATATTTTTGCTCACTTGCTGAAAGTGCAACTCATTGGGAGAAGGTCGAAAAAGGATTGGGGTATAACTCAGTGCTCTTGCGGCACCTCTTGTTGCTCTAACAGTGCCTAGGTAATCCATTACACAAGACTCGATATCCTCTTCTGAAAAGTCCCCGACAAGGCTCACCTATTAAATGGATAAATTTGGCATCAATATCAAATAAAAATGAAAGTTCCACTCAGAAGATTCTCACAAGTCAACCTAAATTATAAAACAAGAAAACACACCTCCATGTTATCACTAACAAACTGATTCATCACTGCATCTCTTACGCTCTGCAATGTTAAATTTTCTAACGAGTATGGTGTGGGCTCAACAAATCGTTCATCTCCATCCAACATAGCAATCATGAGCTTATGAGCAGTTGAGCGTTCCAAGCTTTTCGGAATAGAGCGATAATATGATAAATATAGTTGTCTTGCTCTATCAAATGCGTCGTCAAGCCAAACACTATGCTGCATAATGACCACAAATGTAAGGGTACAACTGAACATAAAATATTAACATTTCATGTAAATGTCTACTCTGTTTAACGAGCATACAAAGAATAGACAATCAGCCAAAATAAAAATAAATTGACATCAAGGATCCAAACCAATCTGGTCGATATCTGGTTAATCATATCATGTATGTTTCCACATCCCCTTCCCCACATATAAATAGTTTGTGACTTTACAATAAATTTGGTTGGGAAATCATATTTACCTCAAGTACCATATGAAGCAACTGGAATGCGGCACGCATTCCATTGTCTCTTGTGGTAAAACGAAACTCCATACAAAGGAATTCTTCTGTGGACTCGAGTGAACAGTTAATCAGATGATTTACACAGAACAGCTCTACCTGAAATAGAATTGCATAAGACCAGACGTAAATTCCAGAATAAGGAAAAGAAAAACATGTAAAATAAACTTGTATGTATACACATAATGCATGCATACACAAATGACTTTAGACAAATCAAATTAGTAATACAAAATGTTAGTAGATAAGTGATATATTACCTGTTCCCTTGAAAAGTTCCCCACACGTCCTCCCTCACTCAAAGTTCGAACGCCCAAAACAACAGCTCCCCTTGCTTCTGGTGTTTCTGCTGCTCGTCCACCACCTACTATAAGCCGCATCACCCCGCCACATGTTTCACTTTTGGAAATCTTGTGAATACAAAGAGTATTAATGTCACATAGATGATAAAATGGAAAGAAATTTGAAAAATCAGAAGTAAACGAATGTGAACAACCTCAGTTTTTGTGAAAAGAATAACAACTGAATAGATGGCTCTAAACATAATACAAAAGTAAACCCAAGTAAAAGTTTGACTTCTAGCAGGAACCAAGCAGCCAAGATTAAACATGGACAATATGTACCTTGTAGTTTATAGAAATCCCATTCGAGAGACGACGCTGTGTGATCCCTGTTTCTCTGTCATGAAGCTTAGTATCATTCAAATCTAAACCAACAGGTACAAAAGAGGGGTTAAGTTGCAATTTCAAATCATGCAGCTCTGTCGAGGTTATCAATTCCTTCGGTACCTCAAACTGCATACAAAAGATGGTAAAAGAAGTCAATAAAATGTAGTCATAATGTCCAAATGCAAGTTCTAAAATCAAACTTTTAATCAAAGCAAGCTAAACAAATACCTCTGCCTCGGGTTCTATAGGTTCCTTCAAACCTTCTTCAATTGCATCTGTTATCTCACTTGGGGATATCTTGAACTCAATTTCACCTGCTCCATCAACATGTACTTTCTTTGGAACACATGCAACAATGGCTGCAGGAACGGGTGCAGATGCTTTTCCAAAATCTGATATGTACTCTAGCACTTGTGCACCGACAAAATTCACCTGCATCCAATATGTTAAAAGATATTCCAAAATGAGAGGAAAAAACAGAATGACGCTTACAATCCCCCCCCCCACCGGACTACAGAAACATAATCTTCATAAATTCTCTAGATTAGCTTTTAGGGGTCAAGTTCAGGGGAAAACCGTAAAAAAATAAAAATAAAAACTGAGGAACACCCTGGTAACGATGGTATGCACATGTTCATACAAGTAATTTGTCCGTTATGCACATGTGCATACCAGTAATTTGTAAGCAATTTGTCCGGTATTCACATGTGCATAAAAACCAAGAAACAACTTTAGTTACTTGTATGCACATGTTCATACTGTCCAGGTAAATGGTTACCACGGTGTTTCTTGGTTTTTTGGGGGGTTTTCCCCTGAACCTCCCTCTAGCTTTTTACCAAGTATAATGGTCCAGTTTACAGAAAATATCAGAGGACAATGACGGATGTGCTTGGCCTTTCTTGATATAGCCAAAAATTTTGGACATTTTGTTTAGCGGGTGCATGAGGAATTAGACCCAATATGTCACTCAAACATAGTAATATGCAAATAGATTCAGCAAATATTATAAAATGAACATTACTTCTTCAAGAGTGATTGTTCCAGCAACAGCAATTAAGCTTTCATGACTTTGTTTGTGATCCATAACCCTATGGCCAAGTGCATCACTCTCCATAACGAAGTCCAAGTTATCCACTGATGATATATTATCACTCATAGCAGATAACTGTTCGCTGTCCTTTAATAGAGCGTCCAGATAACGCGCCAATTCTCCTTTTGTAACGCCAAACTCCTTAAGCCTGCGAACCTGAATCAGATCGAACATCGTAAAATAAGAACCAGCGCATATGAAGATAAAAGTACGTAGTCATGGGGACAATTCAATTTGTGCTAGCTGTTTCAACTGATTAAGAACACATAGGATACTTTTATTGACGATACAATACTCGATTGACGAAAAGTACAAACCTCTTGCGCAGCCACTTTAATTGCACTTTGCCAACTCTTAGGTTCAGCGCTTACTGTAAGAGTAGTAACAGTGCATCCCTCCCTTCCAGAGTCACTATGATCCAACTCAATGGATGTAAACGGTGGGCTAGAACTCTGAAAAATGTTACCTTCCATTAGAAAAATATTTACACAAATAGCAAGTCGTAAACAAGAGAGCAAACCAAAACCCATGAGATACACATGCACACACATAGGAGCATTTTAATTTATGTACACCAAAAATTTAGCATGGAATATCTTCAGCAATGCATCTGTTATTAATCTAAGCCACTGCACCAACCAAAGGAGCTAATTGTCGGGCTTCTGTTTGCAGTATGTTCATGTCACTAAGTACTACACTTTTAAATATCGAATAAGTTCTTTAACAACAATACCATATTAATGTAGGCATAATTTCAAGGAAAGCATGGAGAAAATAACATGTTAGATTTAGCAAATGATGCAAACCGACGCAGATTCAACCACTTACTAAGAAACAATCATATAATTCCATCCTTATTCTTTCAATGAATCTCAATAGGTTCAAAGTTTTGGGATTACATCCTAAGAATGATTGTTCACTGTTTCTTTGTTGTACTATATTCCCTCTTTGAAACAATAGAACATAGATTTAAAGAATTATTATGCACACTAAATGAAACATCACACAATTAGCTATGTAATGACTAGCTTTTGACTCTTGTAAGACTGGCCTGCACACTTTTTGAAAGAAAATGCAAGAAGGCTTGGAAAACATGATATACAAGTCAAGCGTCATTGGCATAACCTAAAGCCTGATTAAAAAATGATCAACTATTAAACCAATCAAATAAACCGAAACCAAATGAACCCAGTAAATTCCACATGAAGTAGGGTCTGGGGAGGGTAAGATGTACACATACCTTGACTCTACGCCAAAAGGGTAGAGAAGTTATTTCTGTGAAGACCCCCAACTTTAAAAAGGTTTTCAAGATAAAAAAGTGTGTATAGAACTTTTAAAAGTTTAAGAGAACCAAACGAAACCCAGTAACCCCACGCATAGGTAAGGTCCAGGGGTAGGATTTAGGTAAGACCTTTCCCTGTTTCCATCACCAGTTTGCAAAACAAAAATTAAAAGAAACAAAAGAGCAAGCTACATGTGAGAGTGTGTGAAAACAAGCAATGGGTACAGCAAATAGAAAATGCAGCAGGGACAGATGTGAGGGAAATAGGTTAAAACAAACAAAATAACACAAAGCGCAGTGCTGACAACTACTAGTATAAGAAGAGAGCTAAGACTAGTGAAACAAACAGGTTTACACAAGTAAACCAATCAAATCAAACTGCTATTCACCTTGCACTGATGAACATCGTCATGCATTACTCTTACGCATTCAACTTTTTAATTAAAAGGCCGACACCGCAATAGCTCCTTGTGGACAATCTTGTCCACTAGTGGATCTATTATTGATGATAAAAACTCGCATGAAATGATTAATGTTTGAAAGTATGGAACTCTTCCGATATGTCAATCATCGTTAAATTCAATCACAGGTAAGTTGGATTAAATTGTATATAATTCTTGAAAAACAGAAAAAACCAAGACATTGATGATGAACAAGCAAAACAATTGTAAAGCAAATTAACATGAAAGATGATGTCATAACAAGGTTGAGTTATGATTTGCACATGTAAACCACCTTATATCTTGAGTTGATGCGAAAATGCAAAGCCGAAAGAAATATCCTCTTCATAAGAACATTACGCAAATCACCATATGTCTGAACCTTGTTCACAGGAATCTGCCAAAAGATAATCAAGCAAAACTCAGGATAAATGAACGGATAGTACAATTTTATGAAAATGGATGCAGCATAAGGGTATAACAACACAAAATACCCATGTGCCAAGGTGACCCTTTTTACTCGCTAAGCAAATCTCAATAATACATGATATACCTTTTTCTCAGATATATATATATATATATGTGTGTGTGTGTATACATATAGAAGGGAAGTAGGCTACAGCTTGTGTAAGATAAGAGGGCCTGCTAAATTGAGAATTGTTTGTGATTTATAATAGATGGAACTCACACGGAATAGAAGATGTAAAATTATGTGAACATGTCAATATTGGTGTCACTTAATGATGTACATCTTGTTAACGCAAATCAGCAAGTGTGGGTTGTTTGTTTCAGCACTTTTTTTGAATTCAACAAATACAATATAAAAAGGATCCTATATCGGAGGTTGCCTTCCCAAGATAGCAACACTCTATAAACAGATCACTAGAAAACACACATTTCCAACAAAAACTTGTGCCATCTCTCTCCTCAGTATTTTTTAACTTCAACAGATGGGAAAATCTTCTGTTATTGCAGTTAGTGAGATCAAACAACTTATTTAACACATGCGTACATACACACGGAGATTCACACAAACCGAAATACACACAAAAACCCAGATCCTTGTACAAACAAAAACACATGCAGTTTTCATACAGAAAGACACAAGGTAATCTTCACTCGATACAAGTTCATCAAATTCAAAAGCTCTCTCACACACAAGGTCTGGTTCAAATACAAACACTAATATTCACAAGCATGCACATGCATATTTGCATGCTATATTATGTGTCATTTCTCTATACAATGGGCATATATCTGTCTGTTCTAGCCATCTGGATCCATCCACATAGAAGCCTAAACCTAATAATGCCCAGCCAATATATTCAGCATCCTTGCAACATGTTCTTGTACAAAAGTTCTTATTAAATTGGGAAATGCACTCCAGTACAATTTAACAATTGACCTACATATCGTGTCACCAGTTGGGCTGATGAGAAAGAGAGGTTTTTTTTCCAATTACATAGCTGCTAGATAGGCCTCAAATTTTGAATAGTAACATCAGCAAGCTAGTAAATTGCTGATACATAGTCAATGACCATGAAGCATGAAGGACGAACTGTCGAGCATAATTGAAAGCATTAGAGCAACCTGATACCACACAGCCAAGATCTCCACAATCAACTCCAATCAATCCTCGAACTTACCACCAAAAGTTGGCTATCCACCAATCAAAGCTTGATGTGCCATTCATGGGATGCAAATACATTGTCATTAATAATGAGGCTGCTTAAGCCAAATGAGCTACACCACACTGAGTGGCACAATGAAAGAGGCATAAGTAGCTAAAGATGATATCCATGAGTAAGAGCCTGTCTGTTAGCAGCTTAATGAGCTTAATGGCACTCACAGCTTATTCGGTCAGCTATACATGACTGTTTGGTAGTGCTTAATGATAAGAATGTGGCTTATTTAGTAAGCTTCTAAGGGGAGCCTTATGCAGAAAGCCAAGTCTTTCTCAAACCTGCCCCTCCCAATTAAAAAACATGCTCCTTCCACCTAAGAAAAAACTATCCCAAATAAAAGTCTTCCCATCTATATAGACAGATTAATCCACACATACAGCTTTATCCATACAGGACTTAATGGAAAACCAACCAAACAGCCCCTAACTTATATGCACATGAAAATTTGCAAGAGCAAGAACAATTGGTGCATAATCCCATTAAAAAGTTAGGGTGTATAATTATGAAAATACATGTGTATAATTATGATTGGAAATTTCTGGGTCACTTCATACCTTACAGAACATGTTAATGGAAAAATTTTGAAGTAGTTCATGCTGAAATATCTGGGGTGACTTTGGATCCTCGTTTCTCCCAGGAAGGGACCAATTATGCTCAACAGGAGGACGAACTGCGTGCCTTTCTTTTTTAAGAACTTTTGATTGGTCCACTGGAAGAGGTGATCTGTCATGTGAAGAATCAACAGATATACCTCCTGTGAACTTAGGAACAAGAAAATTAGCCATTGCACCAAATGCACTAGGTTTAGGTGCTACAGGAGTCTCATTGTCAACATGTTTCTGCCCAAAAACAGCCTGCACAAAATTCTTTGAATTAATTTAATTCAAAAAGCCACTAAGGAGCCATTTCTTCTGAAAACACTACTTTAACCAATTTTAAAAAATGAGCATGTCAACTTACCTCGATGTGGTGAACAGTCTTCGCAATGTTGTCTATATCCCCAACAATATACAAAGTCGCATTCGCTGGGAAGTACCAACGCTCATGGAATTTCCTGATTTTATCTGCATCCCACTTCTTAATCTGCTCTTCTAGTCCAATTGGGAATCTTCTACTCAGCTTATTCTCAGAATGTAAATGTTGCAACAACTGTGCTTAGAAAACAGTAGAAGGATTAAAAATGCTGGCAAGAATAAGAATACAAGTGCATTATCTGCATATTTTCAGCAGTTAAGTTGAGAGATGCTATATGGAGCAAGGAAAAAAGTATATTTGCTATTGAATTGTTCATAAGGGAGTCAAACTCCCAGCTCAGTAAAGAAGAAGAAGAAACTGAGTGCATTGTGTGTAACTTCCCAGCAGCTAAGTTGAGGGGTGCAAATGGAAAAAAAAGGGAAGGAAAATACTTATAATTCCTACTGTAGTTGTTCTTATAGTGCTCCATCTATCTCCTATGATCTATCGGCTTGTTTCTCAAGTTCTCTCCTCAACCAAAAGGGTTACAGAAGCTCCACTTCAGGTTGACAAGATTCAAAAATAATAATGAACTTTGACATGTGTTGGCAGAGACAGAAGCAAGGAAGCACATATCCAATAGCCATGCAATCATGACATATCCACATCAGGTGTCCTGAACCTGATACCCTGTCCATCCAGCAGTGCTGGAGCTACACGGAAGAAGAGAAGAATACTAGTAGCATCTACCTGGCAATCAACACGGTACTCAATAGTGTTCATCATTTGCAGCTCTGATAGTATGGCCCGCCTTTCTTTTTCAACCCGAGAAGCAAGGAATTTCGGGAAAAAAGCTATCTACAGCATAAAAATAATAGGCATAATAATACACATTGTTAGAGATCTTATTTAACAAAGTGATTAAATAACAATTGTTAATTTGTTATGATGAAAAAACAAAAGGATTACACTTTGCAATAAACTATTCTCTTGAAGGATCAAATTTCTAAACCAGATTATACCTCGTTTAAAGCGTCCAAAACAACTGGAAGTAGATCATCATCAACATCCTATTGAAAAAAGCAAAATTTATTGTGTGAAGAAAGATAGAATGCATATAGAGGTTTGTATAGTAGAAGATAAACAAAAAAGCTTTCAAATTCATTTTTTTTATAATGACTAGCTAGATTTTACATCTAACCAAAAGATCGTAGGGTTTGGTTTCAGGCACATTATAAATTTAGGTACGGTACATGATGATTATGACTACTGGATCTTCTGTAGACAAAAGAACCAATGGTCAACCACAAGGGTGGTGCCTGATTGGTTTGAGCTTGGCTCCAAAGGTCAAAAGTACCAGGAGGTCCCAGGTTCAAATCCAAGTAGAAATAAAAATCCCCTTATGGCCACGGAGGTTCAAATGCGATGACTCCGGGCTATCTGCAAAGCAAGTGGTTTTCCTGGGATTACAGGTTAATAAAAAAAATGGTTATTTTGGTCTTTTACCTTAAAAAGCCAAATTGTTATTATTGGATGACTCCATGGGAGCAGCCTTGAACTTCTTCACCATAAAACACTCAAATGAAGGATGCTGGTACAATTACACTCTGGGTGTTTATTGAGGATGTTAAGCCCTCATACCAGCATCTGGTGAAGTATTTTGGTTGGGTTGGGATATGAGACAATCATGTAGATATTATCTCATGTTATAGGACTCGATTTTGTGTTTTCCGTTAACAACTTAATGCCCTTCTCTCATACATGATTTTGTGTTACAACTCATATCGCAAAGGGTACTTCAACACACGGTCTTGTCTCTACTAAACAAGAACAAGTAGGGTTGGAGGATATTCATTTCAAAGACTAGTCACATGTTCGCTTTAGAATAGGACCATAAGAGATGTACAACTAGGTCTTGTGTCCTCCTCGAGGAAAATCTCATATCTTGAAGCGTAAGAACTAGTTGTTTCCCTTTAAGTACATACTTCAAGTATAGTGATATGGCACCTACTACTGATGAATTTATTGGGTTTTCCACGTTGCTACAAAAGCAGGTGATTTCCCACTTGCCATGATGGAGATGTATTTAAATATCATATTGCTACTCCAAAAACCAGGCCTTGAAATACCAAGTTACCAAATATATTAAGGTGCATTGCCATTTGTTCATGAGACAATATACATCTATATATCATCCTTTTATCGAGCCACTTAATATACTCCAGGTCTGCAATATTCTACTAACTCATCGTAGATCACTGATTAATCCTATATTTAGCAAGATGTGTACGTTTGATGTGCATATTGTACCTTGAGAAGTGTTAGATATCAATAGTCAATGCATAGAACATATTCGTGAGTTCAATCGGAAATGCAAAATATAGAGCATTATTAGTTATATTCATGTCTCTCTCCGCAAGCTCCTTACACCATATACTCACTTTCTCTCATAATATATACATTGGGCCCATTTATTTTATAATCAAGACTCTTTTCAATGTGGTACAATATCAAGTATCATTAATAGCATCCAAGTTTCAAAATTTCCAGTTTGGTCACTAAAGTTTCCTTTGTACACATTTAGTCCTTAAACTTTAAATGTTAGCGTCAATATTGTGACTTTTTGATGCAGATGACCATAACTCCCTAAGAAGTTCAGGATTTACTTTTGCAAGAACTTAAACTTCAATAAATTTTATAAATTACTTTAACCCCCCTCCCCCCCCCCCGGTTCAACTGCCTTTGCGATCAACGTCTCTCCACTTCCTCGATTTTACAAGCAATAAAAAGGGATCTACAAAAAGAACAACAATGGAATCAAACGGAGAAGAGGCTGTAGAACTGGCCACACACCCACACCATACCCATGATTGACATGTCCATAATGTTCAACAGCAACCAAATGTGAATGTCACCGTCATCACCACACCATTCAACGCCGTTTGATCCTATCCTCAAGAAAGCCGGACTCCTTGTGGGTGTCTCTGAAGTTCTGTTTTCATACCAGAGGAATGTAAAAATCTAGATGTCCTCCCGAGTCATGATCTAGAACTACAGTTTCCAGCTCCAGTTGGTGGTGAAGGAGAGGCGACTTGGGATTTGAAAAGAGAGTCCTAGAGTTTTCTGTGGGAAGATAATGATGTTGGGATATGGTTTTGATGAGATTGAAATCAGAAATGGGACAACAGAAATGTCGTAAACTTCCTGTGAAGTTAGCTGATGAGTTTCAGTCACCAAAAGCCGAATGGGAAAACCAGGGACGATGATGATGGGGTGAAGTTTCTGGTGTATTCAAGGGTGTCACTTGTTGAGGGGAGGTTTGGGGGTAATATATATAAATTTGGCTATGTTTTTTATGATTTGCAAAAATACCCACTGAACTTTATCTGAGTGTTATGGTCATTTTTTTCCAATATTCCCCAATACGAGACTTTTACTTTTGGGAAGGTTATAGTAGCCAAAGCCATTGGAATTTTTAGTTTATACATTGGAAAATTCCATTTTGTTATTAAAGTTTAGAGACCAAATTTGTTCAATAAGAACATTAATGACCAAATTTGTTCAATAAGAACATTAATGACCAAAACAGATATTTGTGAAAGTTGGTTGCTCTTTAGTAATATTATTAACCTAAACAGAATTATAAACATTAAACTTAAAGTAATCAAATAAGCTACTACAGTAATTAGAGAGCATGAAAGAAAATAGCAAGTACAAACCTGTGTACAAGTTGGTGAATGGATGTGAAATACTGTATGATGAAAATCTGTATAAGCATTTGAGCGTGCACCAGTCCTTAGAAGTTTCTCCCGCTTCTTACTTCCAAGAAATGCGACATGCTCAATCATATGTGCAATACCTTGCTCATCATCTTCCTCATCAATTGATCCCGCATGAACCTCCATGTGGGCTTCAAACCTTCACATAATAAAATTTTAGTATGTTAGGTATGCCAAAGAAAGGAATTATAATGTCTACGCATTTCACCAGAAAACAATGTAATAGCTTCAGAACCACAAGTTGGCTGATAAAATTACCCAACTGAAGCATTTTGTTCTCACAAGTAAAATTCAATACTAATCTCCAACAAAACAATAAGGATTAGCTCTACATAGAAACAGCAAAGCAAGAATCAATCAAAAAATGAGACTAATAACTGATGGATGATAAACATCTGCATGAGAAATAAACAATGAAAAAGACTAGAACACATCAACAACATGAATCTTCTGTACCGTTTGTGTGGATGGCAATCATCATCTTATGCGCATGCATATTTAGATCAGTATGGGTGACAGAGAAAGGAGGAAAGGAATGACTAATGAGGTCTAAATACTTGATAAACAGAAAAGAAGTTTTTGCATACTAGATGCACTATAACTTTCTACTTCCTATTATTAATATGATCCATATGCAGCAAGCACAATACATTTGCCATTCCTCAATATTGAAGTTCAACCCAAAAATCTGTTTCTTTTGATTGCTAAGTGCATAATGATCATCCCTGCTCTATAAAAAACCGTCATTGGTGTACAGGAAGTGGATTTAAGCATTGTCAAGTATAAGACGGTGCTTCATGTTGAACAACTGAAAATAGCTACACATTAAATTCCATATACATATAAGGAAAGAATAAGGTATGCATTCTGTTTATGGAATCACAATTCGCATATATGCTGTCTTACAAAGTTAGACCTGTTTTGGGGAACTTTGTTGGGCAAGATGAGGTAGCGAAGTCCATTCTCTAGTTGTCCCCTATACAACTTTGGATGGGATGGAAGTTCAGAACCTAAAAATCCCTGTAACTCCCTCCATTCGCTGCTTTCTGTGTCAACCATATAATCAGAAGACTGCTGCTCCAAAACACCCTCTGGCCAGGCTGTACTTGCTGCATGTGGCTCATCAGGACCTACAGCTGCACATCGAACTCGAACCTGTTTTTCCTGAGGATGCACAATGTATAGATCAGATACACTACAAGGTGCAATGAGTTTTCGCAGTTCATTTTAATGTTAACATGCAAAACCTTTTCAATCAGCTAACATTGTCAACATTTTGCACCTACCAGTTCCAAAGAAACAAAAGGAAAGAGAAAAATGAAATATAACCTATACATTAAATAGAATATCAGAATCAACGATGAAAACATCTTCCTCATAGCAATAACGCATATCGTTATTATGTCCCACGCCAATAATGCCCAATGCCAATAGTATCTACAGACGTGCAGTTTGCCAATTTGACTATTAGTCAGAGTCTCAGAGACAGATGCAAATATCATACACGGATAACATTGGATTTGAATTTGGATTTGGATTTGGATTTGGATACAGATGAGGGTTATTGCTCCTTCGGGTTATGGACAAGTCAACTACAAACCAATTTCACATTTCTTAGAAAGGATTTGCATAGGATTGTAATTGTCAAGAAGATAAACATGAATTTTAAGAAAAGCTTTGACACAAGTCAAATGCAGAAAGAACGTACGACATTGCAAGACAGTTCATCCAAAAACCAAGTTCTCCAGATAAGTTGATTAAAACAATAAAATAATCTCTAGCATTTTCATGATCAGTATGAAACTTTATGAACTCCCAATTTTACTAGAGATAAGTTTTCAAGGTTATATGGAGTAACCAAAGGGCCTTCGGCCTCCCAAGAGGCCAAAGGGTTCAAACCTCACCAAAGGGAGGATATTGTGCGAGTTTATTTGTTGCATTTGCCATATATAAATATGGTATGCTTAATAAAAGGTTATATGGTGTATAGGATACACAACGTCACAAAAAAGTGACATATAATACCCAATTGAAACACATCGTTGTGTTCTCACACTTTTGTAAAGCCTTTGAGGAGTTGCAAGCTTTGGTACCATATGGTAGAGATTTGGCATCCTAGGTTCTAGGAAACCACTGTGTGTTTAGTTATATCTAGTTAATTTGGGTTGCTAGGCTTGTCTAGTCACGCGTGGATGGCACACAAGATTAAGGATAAAGGCTACTGAAATTGGCTAAAGAAACCATGAGTCCCTTGCCAAGCTTTCTTTGATGGAAGGAGCTTATCTAATAGTGGATGCAATCTTGAGAAGGCCACAAGGAGTGGACGTAAGCAAAAGTCCATGTCACCTTAAATTTATGCCAGAATCTCTCTTTTTCTATTCTTTATTTAATGTATTTTAAATATTTGTGCTTAAAATACATGTAGCTTTTTGTGCATGTACACATTTTATCAACTTTTCCAAATGGAGGCCAAAGTTAGGCACATTATCAAAAGTCAGAACAGCCTATTCCATCCCCCCCCTGCGTTTTCCCCTCTAGGACATGTTCTCACAGATCTCATTCTAAGTGTTCTGATATTCATTGTAGAAAGAAATTCCTCTCATAATTCTCAAAATATGGCTAGAAATACCAAAAGCTCTTCATGTACTCTTGAAAATGTATCCAAAAAAGCAAGTAGTCTTGACTGTCGGCATTCACAATCTTGTAGCAATGCCTCCACACAAGAGGAATTAGAGAAAAAACCATCTCCGTTAATCAAGATAATGTCGCAGTTAGCATGCACATTGCAATTAGATCATTGATCCTAGTTCCATCAATTCTAGACATGACCAATATTCCCCTCTAATTGAGCATTTACACGTAACTTACTATCATATAAAAATATAGATCTAAATGTCTCCGCGAAAAATGGAATCACCTCTGGCCACAATTCATGCAGGAAGTTTGTCATGTATCTTTCCACAAACACAATCTAGAACTTTCTTCATATCATATAAAGCACCCATCTTCCTCCATTCGTGTAGGTTCCTTCATAAAAAAACATCTAACATGTCTAAGGAAAAGACATCTATGCTTATAGTTCCTAATCCTCCACTACTTAGAATTGAGGTTTGGTCTGCTCACATGTAAGGAAAGAGTGATGGACAAAGAGAAATTGTATTAGCATGTCATACGATTTAATTTAGTGTTCATTTAGGTGGAATTTATATAGTATTACTTTCATGATACCTAGGGATCTAGAGTATTCAAAATAATGCATGTACTTTCTTTCTCCAAGTGGTATTCGGGTTTCTTTCTTTGTGAGAATTGTAATCCAATGGTCTATTATTTAGTTTGAGAACATTTTTATTGACATTGTTCAGTATTTAGTTATTGTTCCTATCCATAGACTTCTGTGATTGCTTAGTTGCAATATAGCTTTCTTGTCTTATCTTGCATCAAAAGAAAATGTAACAAATAGAAAAAGAACAGGAGTATGAGCTTGCAATAAGGTCATGACAGATTGACATCTCATCGAATAAAACTGTTCATTCATATGCATATAAGTGATTGTGATTCTATGTTTCGTGATTTCCATAAAGAAAGGTGTGAGAACTTCAGCAAGTCCAGGATAAATTTCAAACTAGCCTCCTGGAATGCACCTACCTTCATATTTTCCTTTCAGTAATCATGTTTTAGATAAAAAACATGAAAAGTTTCATGTTAAAAAGATAGAATATATAAAGGTAAAAGAATATACAGGAATATAGCATAAACAAGCAAATGGCACGCAAAAATAATACCAAAAGGTTATCCATCCAACTAACTACAACTAGAGAACTTACAAATATATTGTCTACTCCATGCTTTGACAGATGAAACCTAGATTTGTCTGAGAACACTCTTGGAGTAGATTTGCATATAAGACCTCGTTTTCTCCGCCCGTGATGAAAGCAAGAGAACCTTGTACATTGATCTAGCAATGGCCTCTGGATCAACGGTTTATCTGATGGAGAAGTGCATCTATCCCAAGCAGTCTACAGATAAAAGCATAAGATTTAGTCAGATAAACTAAGCAAAATAATGCCACACAGCAAGAAAAGTATATATACCTCTCAAAATTATCAATTCTAATAGAGAAACAACCATATTATTCGAAGAAATACATAGGGCAAAAAAATAGATGCATCAGGTATATATCAACTTTGTCAACCGTTGAAACTTAGTTGGATTGTTATAAAGAGCATCATTGAAAAAGAAGGTGATTTTGTTGTCTTCGATATAAATTTGAAGACATCTACTATCAATCAAGGTGTGTAAACCAACAGTCTTGCCTCTTTTTGTCCTTGGGGTCATTACTCATTTCAATCAAGATCAACTGATATGTTGAGATATCAATATCATGGTTGTAGTTGCCCCTTTGCCTTAGCCAAGGCTTGCAAGAAATTTCAAAAATGGGCCAAATATACAGTTCAATTGAAACTTCTCCTACAATCAGTCACCAACATCTACAATTGCAAAGTTTGACTCACCAATAATTCAACAAAAATGTTTTTTTGACTATTAGTCAAAGTTCTAAAACACACATCAATAACTTTTAACCATCGCCATGGTCTAAAAGTTCACTTCAGCTTCAACAAAGCCATCCAAAAACAAAATCTCTCCAAACTCTAGACACGATATATACGAACCGGCAAACAAGATTCCAATATTATTTTGCTCCTTTTACCAAATTAATCAACAAAGAGAACAAAATTAGATAAAGAAAATACCTTAGTGGTAAAGTAACGAGGCGAAGCAGCGGCAGCACGGCGGCCATGTGAATGAAAACACCGCAAGGTAACAGTCTTGTTGTTCTTGGTGGGTATGAATCGATTCGACGGCACAGAATTTGGGTTTCTTGAAGAAGAGGAGGTGAAAGGGGATTTAGACTTCACCTGTAATGGGACGGAAGCGCATATGATAGATGAAGCCTCCATCGTCTTGTGAAGGAGAGTTGCAGGTGGAGCTCGAGAGGGAGAGATGAAAAAAAGGGGGAGCGACTTTTATCCTCACATAAGAAGAAGGGTCTATTGAAGGCCAATTTTGATTTTTTTGTGGCAATAAACTCCCCTTTCTTTTTCATTTCCATTACTTCTGAAATTCATTGAGTGGTCGGTTTGCTTGGGTCCGGGTCCGGATGCTCCGTTTGATTGTCTCCTCGGTTTTGAAAGCTTGGTGATAGGGATGGCAACGGGGCGGGGATGGGGCGGGGTTTGCAATCCCCGGCCCTGGCCCCGGCCCTGGTTTATACACACAGTCCCCGGCCCCGGTCAACTTTCGATCAACCCCGGTCAACCCCCGGTCAACCTTCGGTCAACCCCTGGTCAACACCCGGTCAAATAAAAATAAATAAGTTTTTTCTAAGCATGATCAACATAACAACATAATTACATCATATATAGTCTTGCCTAATAAAAATAATAAAATTGTAAAATTAACAATAATCCAAAGAAATGTAAAATTTAAAACAAGTGTTAATATAATTACATCATATCTAGTCAAGAAGAGTAGAAGAGGATTGAAATTTGGACATATCAATTACAAAGCCCAAGTCCATAAGTCCAACAGGCCGCACATATCAATTATAAGCCCAAATAATCAAAATGTTAATATTTATATATATACCGGGTGTGGGGCGGGTCGGGGGATACAATACCCGGCTCCGGCCCCGGCCCCGGTTTGCCTCTACCGGGGATCCCCGGCCCCGGTACCCGTTTTAGCGGGGAATCCCCGTCCCCGTCCGGGTCGGGTGAACCGGGTTCCCCACCGGGTCGGGCCAAATCACCATCCCTACTTGGTGATGGTCTCCATCGGTTTTGATTTGGTTCCAAAGGCTCGATATTGGTACCAAAGGTCTCTTGGTCCAACAGGATCTGGATTGCTGATAAGGATCTGATTCAGACCTTATCAAAAGTGAAAAGGTGTGTGTGAGTATTTGTTTTATTTAAATATCATGTACTTCAAAAAACTCCAATATTGGCTTCATTAGTTTGGTTCGGTTTTAAAAGCTCGAGATTGAGTTGATTGGTTTAGTGTAAATCAAAGCTCGGTATAGGACCAATAATTGATTTAGGGGTTGTTTGGTTGAGTTTCCATTGAGTCGTGTATATAAATAAAGCTGATTGTGTGAGATTAAATAAATTGGGTGGGTTTTTGTTTGGGAGGGGCATGTTTGAAAAAAAAAAACTTGTCTATGTAAAGCTCCCTGGAAGCTTACACGAAGCCACTTTCTATATCATTAAGTCACTACCAAACTGTCATGTTCAACTGACCAAATAAATTGTGATTCTCGTTAAGCTTATTGGGTTGCTAACAAACAAGCCCTTTAATCCCATCAATCTGTAACAAAACCAAATCTTCACTTTGCAATCTCTCGTCTTAGACAACGAAAGAACGAAGGGGACGACACTGGCAACCACGACAACTTGGGTTTCTTTCCTTTTTCTTTTCAATGGACGACACTGGCAACAACGACAACTTGGGTTTCTTTCCTTTTTCTTTTCAGTCGGGTTTTTTTTCTATTTAGACACGCTAACATTTTTTTCACAAAAATCTATCTTTATAAAATTAAAGTACAATGCATTGACATTGTTGAAGTTCACATTATCCCGACTTGGACCATTTACGTTCAATATATAGCGAAACTTCATTTCTTTTATCAATGACTTATTTGGATAGTAATCTGACATAGTTCCATCTAAACCAATATATCAAAAAAAAAAAGTCAGTCTTTTTGTTAGAAAGTTAAGCTGGTAGGTTATATCGGTCAAATAACAAAACTCAACAATACGAGTTTTCCGATAAAATATCATTTCCCAAAAAAATAGACAACTTTCGTGTAGTTTTTTTTCGTAAAAATAACCAGTTTTTCTAGTGACAAATACCTGATACATGTACCAAAAGTAGCATACCAGTATACTTACTAATTGTAATCCATTTATTTAAAAATGGTTGTTTTTTGATATAATTTATTTTAGACAAACTAAAAAAACAGTTTTTTAGAAGGAAAAAAACAGAACAAATGAACTGAAAGGGTTTTATTTTTTTGATCATGTTTGAATTATAATTAATTTTGGTTTATCTACTTCTATCCATGTGGGGAGGAAAGAAACATCTGTATTCTATCATGAAATTTATTTTGTACACGGTTGGAGGTTTCGTTTTTCTCTTAATGAGAGTTCTAAGTGTCGGTTTATATGATTCTAATGGACCAACATTAAAATTTGAAACATTAGTTAATCATGTCGATTTACATAAGGTTGAAAACGATGTCCAACACAGCACCAGACAAAAGGATCCTCTAACACACAGTTTGTTAATTAGATCTTACAGTGTTGACCAATTTCACTATACTATATCGACATCTCCATCAATTGGATAGGCACCATATGTATTTACCACTACATATGCAATACAAAATCAAAGGTTTTTAGCTTCAACTTCAACACCATGGTTCCAGATTGAAAACAAAGTATCCACAAACAAAAATTCTCACACTGTGAACAAAATACCTGGAAACAAAAACTCAAATTGATCGAGTAACAAGGACAATCTATACATATCTAATTTATTCATATGGTGGTTCCACATATAACATAGAAAAAAATCCATGGTGAAGTTGCAAAAAAATGAAACAGAAAACCATTCATTGATGGATTTGTAGAGAAAGGAATCTGTAACTGCTTCAACTGGGATTCCTGTGATGGTGGCACCAGGAAAGGGAGGGGGAGATGGGGTTGACGGGGAAAAGGGAAGGTGCGGGTGCAACTGAAAAGGGAGATAGAAAGAGGGAGGCCGGTGGAAGAAGAAAGATGATGTATGTGCTCCCGTTACAGATGGTCGTCGAAAAAATAGACACCGGAAAAGGCACAAAGACCTAAGGAAGGCACAGGGACGAGTTGAGCAATAGACAAGAATGATATGTGATTTACTCTACCAATGTCTCTTAAAAAAGAAAATGAAATAAAAGTATCAAAAGATGAAAATATCTCACTTAACGGAGAAAAAAAACGTGAGGGACCTAATTCATAACTTCTATATAACCACATGGACGATATATGCAATTTACTCTAAAACAAAAATATTTTATTTTATTTTATTATATTAATAAAAGCAAAACGATTCACAACAATGCAAAATTAATCATCGTGCAAAAGTATTATATCAGCTTTTACAGTTATATTTTACATCAATTTAATACCAATCATCTTTTAAAAATGGTCTACCTTGACACGTTAACAACTATTTTAAGTTTATAATACATGTTTTAATTATTTATAATTAATTAATTGATATTCATTTAGATATTAACATTAATATGATTAATTGTAAATTTATCATTAAAATGATAATAAAAATATTTGAACTTTTTTGTGATGAAAACCAATAATATCTACTTGGAAGTTTTGACAGATGTGTTACAAGTTTTGGTCTATGTGACAATATCACATAGACTTGTAAGTATTTTGAAAGCGTAATATAAAGGCACATATGGATGGTCTAAACTCCACCTTTTATATCGTATGTTTCGATGAGCCTAGAACGTAACATCCTTCGTTTCCGTGTCTAAATTGAGACCAAGTGAAAGGTGTTACAAACATTTTTTTTCATTAACCATTCGCATGTGAATATAGAAAATATGTTTAAGTTAATCAGAAACGACTGAAATCAAAACATAATTTTATTAATATAAAACCATTTCGATGGATCATAGTTACAAACTTACAGTACACAATTTATTATTCTAATATATACATATATACATATATATATATATATATGTGTGTGTGTGTGTGTATGCACTACAACAAAATCGGTTTTATAGGACACTCCCAAATTCTAAGTGTCCTAATAAACCTCTTTATAAGACTTAGTTTATATAACCAAAAAAATAAAGTGTCTTATCTAAAGGTGTTGTAATAAGTTTATATGACGTTTTTTGACGTCGTAATAAGTTTTTTAGGACACTTTTAATATAAAGCGTCTCATTATCAACTTTAAAGGACACTTTTGAGAAAGTGTCCTATAAACTCAATTTTTTTATAGGACATTTATTTTTATAGGACACTTTTAAGAAAATGTCTTATAAACTCAATTTTTTATAGGACATTTGTTTTTATATGACATTTTTTTCAAATAGTGTCCTATAAAGTTGATAATGGGACGCTTTTATATTAAAAGTATTCTAAAAAACTTATTATGACATCAAAAAAAAGTCATATAAACTTATCACAACACATTTAAATATGACACTTTATTTTTTTGGTCCTATAAACTAAGTCCTATAAAAAGGTCTATTAGGACACTTAGAATTTGGGATTGTCCTATAAAATCGATTTTGTTGTAGTGATGTATGTATACTAAGGCACAACCTGATACCGAAACCATGTAATACAAACTGATACAAAAACTTGACTACGTCGCAACTTTGGTAGCTCCCTTAAACCATCTACATTTGCCTTGAAAGCATGGGATGATACTAATATATGACACATACTTAACTATTAAGCATTAGTTGCTTAGTGTTTCAACTTTATGCATCAAATATCATGTACTCAATTTTTTATAGCATCATAACATAAAGTAAACATGTTGATATGTTCATAAGATTCACAATTTTAAAATCGATTTCCACCGTGGATGCCACACCTTCCAGTATTATTTCGGAACCCTTCGTCAAGAGTCCAGGGTCATTTCTACAACCCCTTGTTGCGGTTATTGTTGATCCTCTATCTCATTGATTTGATGATAATCCCCTTTACCTTACTCGAAGTATTTATGTTTCTGTTTTTCAGTTCCAGCGATCATCACTGAGTAAATTCAGTGATCGCTGAAGAACTTGTAATGTAAATCCAATCAGCGACAACGATACCTCAAGAAGACAAAACTCACACCAAAGAACCTTCAGCAAAAGTCGAAGACTCAAACTGAAGATTAGAGACTGGCGAGTACGTGATCTGAAGCGGTATTCAATGATTACAACCTTGTCTATATATGTGTGAAGACTGCCCAAGCCTCAGCAAATGTTGAAGAGACCTTCAGGTTATTCCAGCATTCAGCGAT